ACATTAGCAGTAAAACGTGATATTTATTTTCGGCCTCGCTAGGCACTGAATTTGGACAGCTCTCTAGATTGCTATCACTGGGAGTGGCCGACTAATGTAAGCCATACAGTAAAATTTAGTAATTAACAGGCAAAACACAGCTTTGCGTGTCTAAGAATTTTTATTAAAAAAGAAAACTAGCACGTACATTTATTCTGATATCTTCGACTTATTTACGCTTCAGACAAATTACATGAAATTTTGATGAGTTATACGTCAAAACTTTTCCCACTAAGTCGGTTCATTAGTTTGTATGTAACTGTAAAATTATAAGCGTCGTAAATTTATAATCTTACTTAAACTAAATGACTTTTCCTAAATTAATTTGACCAAGTTTAAATGGGTATTATTCCTAACTATACAGATTAAAAAGTGAAGATTTAATAGCTCAGACAAACATCGTGACCTAGTGGGTCACACGTCGGTTTCAAGGTGTTGCCATCTCTAAGGTCCTGGGTGTAATTCCCGGTCACGTATGCGACCTCCTAATCTCAAGCTAGCGTAATAGGATACGACTAAGCGAATTTTGACGAAATTTCGTTTCATTATGCTACTTTTTTATGTCTTTTGGTGTATAAATGACTTCATTGGAAACACTGGTGCCAAATCCATAATTATTATTCGTGATTTGTTATTAAAGTACATGCCGAAGTAGTAAAATAACACGAATTAATGCTATAACATCGCTAAAATGTCATATCCATATATATAAAATCCCATATTTTAATCGTGGGAGACCCACGCTTCGGCATGAATGGGCCGGCTCGACCGGAGTGATACCACACATAATCACAGGAAACCGACGTGAAGCAACGCTTGCTTTGTGTTTCGTCGTGTGAGTGAGGGTACCGGAGGCTCAACCCCTCCCTATTCCCTTTCCTCTACCTCTCAACCCTTCCCTCCCCATGATCATATTCGTCCCACAAAGGCCGGCAGCGCGCTTGTAGCCACTCTGGTGTTGCAGGTGTCCATGGGCGACGGTAATCACTTACCATCAGGTGATCCGTCTGCTCGTCTGCCCCCTATCCCATAAAAAAAAAAGAATATCCTCTGGCTAAGTTGCTTATAAGTGTTAAATAAATAAAATATAAATAAATATCGGACAACATCACACACATTGATCCGATTCCGAGATAAGTAGCTTAGGCACTTTTGTTACGGATATCGGAAACAACGGGGGGAATACAAATATATACATAATATAAATAGAAAACACCCAGACACAGAACGGACACAATTGTTAATCACCAAAATGTTTCTCCTGTGTGGGGATCGAACCCACGACTCTCGGCGCAAAGTAGGAACGCTACCACCGCGCCATTGAGCCCGTTAAATCAATATAGGAATGAAGAACGAGTCGATTAAGACAAACATCTTAATTGTAATAGCTTCACTTTTTTAGTGTGTATTGCGTAGACAAGACAGACATATTAATATCATTGTGAATAACCTAACAAAAGTAAGGTAATAGCTCATAAAACAGTATGCCTTGCGCATCCCAGAAACAGCAAAGCAGAATTTTTCAGCGGTTCTTTTGACTCGGCTTCGGTTGAGTTGGTGGCGTTTCTTCTCGAGGCAGCCAAAAAGCACGACGTGTATCGTTCTCGTAATAAATCCATGATTCATCTCCAGTAACCAGATCTGACAAAAACTCTTTACGTCGGGGTCGCAGCAAAAGTGACTGACAGATAGCGACACGGACTGCACGACTGGCGTCTGTAAGGATGTGCGGTACCCACCGAGCCAAAACTTTTCGATAACCAAGCTCATGCAGATGGTGTTCCACGGCGTGGTGACTGCATTTAAGTGCTTCCGCTAATTCACGAGTGGTAGCATCCGGATTCAACTGCAGTTCGCGGCGCAAATCGTCATCATTCACTGCGGGTGGTCGCCCTGAGCGTGGCTGACTTTCAAGGCTCCTGTCTCCTGATTTAAAACGGTCAAACCATCGGGACACCGTCGCATGGTATTATTGAAATCCCCTAGTAATCATTTTACCAGTAGGAACTAGGTACGAAAGTAACTTATTCATTACCTACCTACTTTGTTTCAAATGCAATAATCTTGTAACGATATATTATTTGTCGGTGTAACTATGCTTTAAACTATCATATCTTTTTTTAGATACTATTGCCTCTGTCTCTCTGTGTAAATAAATCAAGGCAATCGCATATATGCTTGTGTGAAGTGTATATCCCTATAGCCAAGGTGACCTTGACCGGAACTAGTTCCAACCGGCAGTGTTGCCATGCTGGAGAGACTAGATAAAAAAATATTTATTTTAATGTAGTCAATTCAGTAGTCAATTCAGACCGTCCGTTTTATAAAGTAGTTTAAAGAAATTTTAGGAGGATCTCGATGGCGCAGGTTTGTGGAGGAGGATGATGTTTTTCAACTTTCGCAGTGGCCGTTCATAGGATGGGTGGCCAACAATATGTTATATCGAGCCCTTCCGTGGTTTATGAGGTAAGCCCGCATGGTCATGACCAATTCTCTTCTATTCCATTCAATTCGATTAAATCCTTTCGGAAGCAGTCATTAATAGGTTGGTAATGATGATAAGGAAATTTTATTATTTCTGGTCTCCTTCACTATTTTTGTCTAATCAGTGGTACTTTTTTTTTATTTGTTTTGCATTCTACAAGAAAATATTGGGTAATTAAGTGATACCTATTCCATGGGCGTTTATTACCTTGAGTGATTAATTACAACAGAGGATCATTAAAATGTCATTTTATTATTTCTGTACAGCTGAAGGCAAAGGCTTACATTTAATATAGTTCCTAAAAAAACAATTTATTTTCAGTAGAACCTACGTAAAAATGTTTTGTCAATCATAATAAGGGATGTTATATTAAAAAATCCATGATATTATGAATACAGTACTCTTATGAATATAATACATAATATTCCCTTTACATATGATATGTAATTATTCAATTTTTCCCATGGGGTCAAAATTTAAAAGGAACTTTTTATGTTGTCTTAATTACACAATTACATCTTTTTAGGTCCCGTTTACCTTATTTCCCTATTACTAAGACTCCAGTGTCCGTCTGTGACCAATAGGCGTAGCATGACCAACTCGGAACGCATTATCTATACACAAATGTCACTTTTCTCGGGTGCGCCTATACGATATCTCACTCTTGACCATAAGGTTCTCGTTCCTAGAAAAGTGACAGTTGTGTGTAGACAAAGCGATTCTTGAGTTTTGCGCGATACGCGTCCACGAACCGTGATATCTAGACAGTAAAAATTTTCACAGATGATGCGTTTCTACTGCCGCTATTAAATATGCAAAAAGGTTTCACATATAAAAGACGTAATTTTTGCGTTTATTATAGATTATGTTACGGAACCTTTCGTGCTCGAATCCGATTCATACTTGGCCGTTTTTTTTTATAATTTGCCAACCTTTTGCAATGTATATGTAAGCATAGTTAATATTATTTACACACCAAAACCATAATTATGAACTATTGTGAAATAATATTAAGGAACATAAAAGAACAAAAAAAAAAACTTACATTAAAAAAAACGAGAAAGGCGCTGCAAGCCAACAATATGTTTCCTTTGTAAGTCCTTTTTAAGTCACGTCATGTCCACTTACGTGCCTTGTTACAAAATTATATGAAAAAATATTAATTAGCCTGTTTTAGCAATATGGAGCGCAAGTAAAGGTGGAAAAATTTCCCAGTTAAAAATTTTTAAGCGCCGTATTATAAGCGCTTTCAGACGCTATTTGCGTTCGTGGTGCAGAAAATTGAAAAAGAACTTTGGCTAAGTAAAGGGCAAATACACCTACGTATCATAAAAACTCCATATAGAGTCGAATGCAATCGATTCTGACCCTTAATACTTTCTCAATTACAATCAAATTCGATTCTAGATACCATTTGCAATAATATTATGAGCTCTCAGTTACTATCACGACATAGAAGTTAATGCGAGTCAAATAATTACTGATCACAAATCTCGATCAAATAAATACAATACAAATCCATCAAAGATTTAATGAAAGGTTAAGATGGCATCTTATATTTCTGCATATTCTACTTAATAAATATAACAGTTTTGGAACAGGTTCCGCATTCTTATTTATTTAGTACAGGACTGGTGTCCACACAATAAGATGGCCGTCATATTACTGACATGATTAAAGATACCACATATGTTAGTAGACATTCTCAGGTAGCACTTACCCTCTTTTTGGTTGGTTGCTCTTCTATTAATCTAATATCAACACTATGCTAAATTCTCGTTATCTTATATTAATTAAGTTTCAATAGTGGCAATCCACTTAATTCATAAACCGACTATACTCTATTTCGAACTATAATACTGTTTACAAATGACAGATTAGTGATTTGGAATAACAAAGATAAAGTTAAAATACTCATAATAATGAAATAAAAACACAAATGAATGAAAATATAATAATGAATAAAAATACGCTAGTAAGAGTAACCTAACAAAATCTTTTTAAAAGTAATTTAACTTGTGATTATTTTATAACCTTTTCTAAACTATGTTTCCTATGTGTAAAAAATCCTGTGGGTAATTCTATTAATATTAGCGTAGTCATGGAAAGTCAACAGCGTTTCAACTACAACCAATTAAGATACAGTTCTTGTTAATAGACCACCAAATAATAAATATAACTGTTATCGTTGATTTGTAAGAAAGACATTGCACTAATAATAATTCAGACTTAGTGGGGATTCTATTGTAATTCGAATATAACTTAAAAACATCAGAATTAAGGCCCAGTATTGTTTATGTATTAGCAACATCATCAGCGCGATTTATTCTAATGACTTATTTAATAACTCTGTTTACTTTAAGCAACATTATTTTATTATTTTTGTGTATAATAATTCCTTCATATACTGATTCACTAAGTTATTTATGACTTTTGTATTATAAATTTGTAAACGTTATTTTAATTACAATCTTATTTTAGTTCACGTCAATATCAAAATTCTAATATGCTCAATAAAGAGACTAATTGTCATAAAATATTATTCTTATTCAATGCAAAGACAAAGAGAAAATAATAGAAATAAAACATAATTAAACACAAATACTAACTTTATTCACATTTTATTAAAATTAAAAAAAATACCGAGAAAAAGTAAAAGGTTACAGCCCGTAAATTTAACATTTAGTTCCATTTGTGGTATTCTATATCTGACTCCTGTTTATTCGGATTCTTGGCGGCAGCACTACCTATTGCGTAGGTGCCTTTCCCAATTTCTTTGGCAGCAGTTTTGGCCAACTCTTCGACAAACTCGCTTCCAGCTACCGGTGCACTATTGCCAGTTAAACCAAAATTAGGTCTAATTTCAGCACCCCATACTCCCAACAGTTTGTATGGTTTGTGCTTTCCACTAATACACCCATTGTCACAATTACAGCAGGCAACGTTGCATGGACCATTTCCACAACAGCCAATTAATGGTGCGCGCGATCCGTCGTCACAAATCCGTCCTAAATGCTCGTCATCGTGTGGTGGGCAACAATTTTTGGATATGAAGTCCCAAGAAACAGCTACTTGAAGAATACATGCCACAATAACAATATTTTTTCTCATATTTCCTATACAACTTGCTTATGTTAAAGTTACTGACTGACAAAATGAGCGGTAAATGTAAGCTTATTACATTTTATCATTATTTATACACCCGAATTCATTGTAAACAATACGGGCGGACTGACATAGGGCTGTACTATCCGATCTGATACTTAGATGGATCGATACAATTAAATTCACTCGATATTGACAAATCGGTACGAAAAACACAGAAGATCGTACCGAATAGATGATTTTACAAATTTATGCGTAGATATTGGTAGTTTGTAATTTAATTTTCACATTACAAAAAGTTTGTCTCTCTGTTTCATTGTTGCACCGCATTTTTTTAAAGATCTCTACTACAACTCTCCGGTTGACAGGTAGAGAATGGCCCCATGGCAGTAAGTCCACCATTTGTACATTTTAATGTGTGCAATACAGCTTAAATAAACAAAAAAATCAAGCTGGTAATATTTATTCGTTACACTAATAAGTACTGTATTCCATTGTCACAACGTACGACGATCCGTCGCCATACGAAAACAAATTCATATTTCACTTATCTGGTAATAGATGAGAATTCAGCATACACTTAATTGTTACTGCTGATTTTGAGAAGAGACAGAAAATAAATAATACTTAAAAAAATATTTTCTTGAACCGCCAACATCTTATTGTTAAGTGAATTGTGTTATGGAGAATTTAAAAAGGCATATTAAACAGTGAATTTATAGGCGAAAGTCATTATTTGGAATCACACTTTCATAGCTACTTTTTGCCAAAGTATTTATTCTCAATAAAACATTAAGTAATAAAATAATATCTTTTATTATGATAAAAAAAATCAAGTTATATTTTTTATAATAAAAAATAAGTACCTAATATAACAAAAAAAAAAATTTTTTTTATTATATTTTCACGTGCACTACTCAGTGAATGAATCTAAACAGTTTCAGCACTTTTATATTTGCTTTCATAACGTTAAGGACCCTTGACACGTTCCGTGTTCACTTAAGATTAAGGTGTCAGTTGTCTTTTTGTTGATTGTTGATTGTCAATCGACACCTTACTCTCAAGTGAACACAGAATCTATAAAGGGTTATGAAAGCAAATATACACACCCTGAAACCGTTCAAAGTTATTTCATTTAATAAAATCATCCTTTACTAATTAAATAGTTGTTTAAATTGCGTATTGATACTAATATCGTATCGAATGAAGTTAATCGATACTTGGAACGATACAGTTTATAAACTTCCATTGTGAAATGGAATATCGATTAAATTCATTAACGCAGTGTAAATACACATTAGTTTTTGTGACCTTAGTACAACTTTATCACAATTTGCTTACGTCCAAATTATCTAAATATTAAGATAAAGTACTGTTGGGTTTTACACCTAGCAAGTTTATATTTAATGCCCTCAAACATCCTGTTAACTTCTAAATAAAAAAATATTCTTAGTAAAAAAATGCTTCCTATCTCCTTTAGTACTTTGAGGCTGGTGTATTTTTCAAGACATCATTGTAAAGCTATATTGATATACAGCATATTTTATTATATTTATATCCAATTAATGTAATAAAATTATTATATATAGTGAGTATCAACACACAAAGATTGAACTTAAAATTACGGAATAAAAAGTTGAGTAGGTGTTTTATTTTTACATATTTGGTAACAAAACAAACTTTGTAAATATAAATATGTATTCACCTTATTACGCAACAGTTTTATGTGCACTATTATGGAATACTATTATACAAGCATAAAAATAACTTTGAAGTAATTCTACCCCACCTTTAACTACTTTAAAAATAAAGCTAATTCCAGAATTCGTTCGAGCTCTTCTGCTGCATCGTTGCATTCAAATGTATGTAAATGTTTATATTTCAAAATATTGGATCCGCTCCAAAGAATTTTCAAATTCTATACAGTCTATTCCTATACATAAATAGCCTTTGAAATTAAATATCCGTCACGAAATTTCGGCGTGCTATTCTCAGTAGAACTTGTTTGATTTGTTTAGATATGGCAAGTTGAAATTCTCTCTTCACTTCTTAAAACTAAAATGTTGGTTGTCTTAATAATAATGATACACGACTGCAAAGTGAATGTGACTTGATCTATCACATTGTTATACATTATACGAAATGAAACTAAAATATCTTTATTTAAATAAACTTGTTACAAGCACTTTTGAATCGTCCAAAATTTTTATTTTTCCTACCACTTGTTCAGGACGTCTTTTAGCTGACAAGAAGAACAAGCGAAAGAAACTTACCAGCTCTTTATCATAAGTAATGACATTTACAAAATCATGTCATTACCAAAATAATATGTATTATCACAATAATAAACACAACTTTCAAAGTCTGTAGGTCATAGTTTGTACATACAATTAGTCGTTATAGAACAAAGTGAAGGCTATTAATTCCATGTATTGCGGTCATCAACTTCATAATAGCCTTTACTCATAAGTGTGTTCTTTACATTAATTTTAAACTTATTTATGCGTAGGTCAATTACATTTTGTGGAACTTTATTGAACATAGCAATGCATTTACCCAGAAATGACCCTCTGGTTTTCTGAAGTCTGAAGCTTGTAACGGCAAGTTTATTTTTATTTCTTGTTTAAGAATATGAACACTCCTTTTTTTGTGACGGAATCGTAATGTTTTCTTGCGTACATAATATTTTCATAGATGTATTGAGAGGCAACAGTCAAAATATTTATTTCTTTAAATATTACTCTGACAGATTCCCTAGACCGTAAATTATATACAGCGCGGTCAGCTCTCTTTTGTAGAATAAAAATATCTTGAATGCTAGCTACAGAACCCCACGACAATAGACCATAAGTCATTACACTATGAAAACAACTAAAATATACCAATCTTACCGTTTCAATATTTGTCAAGCGTCTAATTTTCATAACAGCAATACCAAGGAACTTTGTCGAATCCACCAACTCAACTTTTTCACTATTTACATTTATAAGTGTACTAACATGCCTCACATTAGGTAATGCAAACTTTATGCATTTCGTTTTATTTGAATTAGGCTTTAAATTATTATTATCAAACCACTGTAGAACTTTGTCGAGAGCATCATTTACATCGTCAAAACAATCATTACCCCTCTTAACTTTAAACACTAAAGAGGTGTCATCAGCAAATAATACTATCTCGCACAAATTCTTTGTACATATATTAACATTTATATATAGTGTAATATGGTCTTTATTCTTGATTATTAACAATAAGCGTTTAGTATTACAACTACATTTAACTGTCATGTTTCAATAATACCCAATTACAAATAAACCTTTACAAGCATAAGATAAACACAAGGATCCCAATATTAAGCACCACTGGTCACATATATTTTGTGACATATGGCGTGTCCGCAATCTAGAGCGGGATTGGTGCATCCACAACGTATAAGTGTGTCAACTAAATGACAATTTGATTTATGGGACAATAGATCCTATGCGGTTTACTTTATACTCTAAAGTAGCCTGCGACATTTGACGGCGTACATATTGTACAAACTAAATACGAAATTCACTGCAGAATAAAGTCCCAAATAATATTCTTAGCAATATTCAATTTACATACTGCTGGGGTTCAAGTCTTAACATGCAATTTTTAAAAGTTTTGCCGCTGGAAACAAAAGATCTGTGCCTGAATACGGAGATCAGGCAATAACTCATCTCGCGAGCCTAATGAGAATTACGAGGGTCAAACTGAAAGTTCTTAGAACTGGCCACTTATAAACAATATAATAAAAAAATAATTCTAAAATTTGAAAATATAACTCTTTGCCAATATTACTGAGTATATATTTCATTCATTTGTCATTTGTTTTACGATTTGGCGGCAAATTGAAAATTGTCTGTGTCACGTCATCATGAATTTAACACGAGAAAATTTTCGTGCAATGATTTTTTATGACTTTCGATGTCATTTAAGTCAACAAGAAAGTTATGATAGACTACGATTGGCCTTTCACGATGAAGCCCCATCTCGTGCGACTGTTTACAACTGGTTTAATGAGTTTAAACGTGGTCGCACTAATCTCACTGATGATTTACGTGAGGGACGGCCTTCTACGGCGACGACTGAAGATAACATCTGTGTTGTGCGGCGTATGATAGAGACTGACAAAAGAGTGACCTATCAACAGATTCGGACAAGCTTAGGCATCGGTATGAGTCAAGTGCACAAAATCCTCCACGAACATTTAGCGGTCAGGAAGCTTTGCGCCCGGTGGATACCTCATAATTTGACTGAGGCTCAAAAACTCCATCGTGTGGATTGGTGTCGTAAAATGATTGAAAGATTTAACGGAGGTGACTCAAATGCTGTGTTCGACATACTAACAGGTGACGAAAGCTGGATTTACTGTTATGATCCTAAAACCAAAAGACAATCTGCTCAGTGGGTGTTTCCTTTCGAGGAGTTGCCAACTAAAGTGAAGAGAGATCGAAGTGCGGGAAAAAAAATGGTGGCCTCGTTCTTTGGAAGGATAGGTCATTTTGCAACAATTGTGTTAGAGGATCAAAAAACAGTTTCTGCAGAATGGTACACTACCAATTGTTTGCCACTTGTCTTGGAAAAAGTTCGAGAGAAACGACCTCGCAGTAGGATCCTCCTTCACCACGACAACGCCTCGTCGCACACCGCCAAGCGAACGATCGACTATTTGGCGACATCAAACGTTGAATTACTGGGTCACCCGCCGTATAGCCCCGACCTCGCGCCTTGTGATTTTTATTTATTTCCAAAAATTAAAGAAATACTTAAAGGAAAGCGGTTTATGAATGCTGAAGAAGCGGTGGCTGCGTATCGCGATGCCATTGAAGAGACCCCTAAGGACGAGTGGGCAAAGTGCTTTTCCCAGTGGTTCCATCGCATGCAGCGGTGTATTGACGTGAATGGACAATATTTTGAAAAGATATAATAAAACTAATAACTGGCTAATGTAATCAGTTTTTGATTTTCTAAGAACTTTCAGTTTGACCCTCGTATTGCAATGTTAACATTGCAAATGCAGTCGTGACCAACAGCTTAACCTGCCGTCTGACGAACGCGTCAATAAAGTCGAGTTCAAGCCATTTGATTAGATAATCTTTGGCTAGTTATGATATTTTTGTAGACATT